GTAGATGCATTTTTAAAGCCACGACAATAAAATCTTTAAAGTGATTTTCTTCAATGCCACTCTTTAGGAAATTATCAGCTGTGTTTTAAAAGCTGTGATTGTTTGTCACTATTTCTGCCCGATAACATTTTGAAAATTAATTGATATTTTATTTCTTCTAGTAAATCGCWAATMGCAGAATGCAATTCGTTGGAATAATACATTTGAAAATAACTACATGTATTAAATAAAATACATGTTTAGGGYCTCGTCCTCTCTAGTRAATACATCAGGGTATTTAGTCTTGCATCTAGGTTAAAATCTCGTCTTATGAAAACGAGATAAATGTAACATTAAATTCTAAAGGTATTTCGAGTTGTTTTTCCGGTGATCTGCAAACAATACACATGAAATACACGTGAAAACCCAACTCAAACAGCTCGTTTATATTAGTTTTCAATTTACACTTATATTAATAGCGTTATTCAAATTATTTATAATCAAAGCCTTACTCATTACATAATTTTACATATACACAACTTTACATAATTTAATATATATTGTAGATAGTTATATTTTTTCTACTGCTCTTGAGTATTAATTGTGCCTAATGTATCGAATTTGTAACAGCTTTTGCTTACGCGTTAAAAGATTTTGAAAAATAAATTAGTCTTGTTTGGAGTTTTTTCTCTTTTTGTCGCAATTGTAAAACCTTTGGTTGTTTTTTGGTCGACACAATAAAAGTAAACATTTAAAGCTAATTTAAACAAAGAAATAATATTTCTCTAATTTAAAACAAGTTTTTTTAGATGCAACTGGTACAATAATACCTTTCCTGTCTTTGCAAATTTGCTTGATCGGCTGATTGAAAATGTCTTGGAGTCAGTTGCAAAAAATACGAAAAATGCGATCTAATACGGCGATAAATATTTACGGTTCCGTAACGACTTGACAAATAAAACATGTTTATTCAAGAACTTCTCGAAAGCGAGAACGACTGAAAACCAGATAAGCAATAAATTCAGAAGTGAAGAAATGATACTGAAATTACGAGGTTCTAGTTAAACGCTGTAACTAATACAAGAAAACATTTCATAAAAATAAGTCGATGCATTTTTAAAGCGACAGCAATAAAAGTTTCAACCAACAGTACTGTTGTTTTAAAGTGATTTACCTCAATGGGACTCTTTAGGAAAATATCAGCTGTGCTTTAAAAAAAATTTTCTGTCTGTTTTGTTTAACGCCTTTTTGAACATGTAATAATCTTTTTTTGTCGTTGAGTCGCAAACAGAAGAATGCATTTGATACAATGATAAATATGAAAATAATTACCTGTACTCTCGATTCAGGTAAATTAATTTTTAAGGCCACCTCCTCTCTCATGAATATATCGGGGTATCTAGTCTTTGAAAACAAGGCTTCCAACACATCCAACTGCGCCCTCGTAAATGTCGTACGTTCTCGCCTTTGCTTTCTTTGGTTTGCTGAAATATAATAATTTTATTTAAAAATGTGTTGTCAAATGTGCCAAACAGTGAGAACTATTCATCCATAAGGATAGAAGAAAAATTAATATAAGAAAAAAAATGTACGTACATGGGTATCCATACATACCTCCAGGATATCCTGCCATTGGGGCATGGAGGGAATCGACGGCAAGCCCGTGCAAACCCAACCCCGGCATTTGGTATAAAGCAGATTTATACGCAGAGTTACCACCACCTGAGTTTCCAAAATGGAACGAAAGATCGTTGTCGGCACTGAAAAAGTAAAACTGGATTAGAGACGAGGCAAAAACGCATTTGTACTTTGATCAAGAAAAATCCAAATCCCAAAGTCGGCATCAGTAAAAGCCATGAGGCGAAAAATTCAATCCATGATCGCTTTGCTTTTATCCCATGGATCAGCGTTTTAAAATGCAAACGTCGAATCAAACTAATTGACGGTATCAAACAATCAGCCAGAGGACTAATTTTATCTGGCAATCTGGCTAATGGTCCATTATTAAACTTATCAACTTCAAAGTATCGCTGTGCTCTCTTCCCTCGTTGTCTTCTTATTCGATTGCCACCCTCTGTTTGCCGTTAACAAAGCCCGGGGGATGTCGAAAGGGGACCGTGTGTCTAAACTTCAAAAAGTGAACGCTAGAAATCGTATTAATTTGTCCTAATGGGCATATCTTATTTTGCTCTTATAGACGACTACTGGCTAATTGGGTTAATAACGAATTTACTCTTTACAGTTAAACTATCGCCAAAAAGACTTGAAGATGATATTGTTCCAAAAGCCCTACGTTTATATGAATTTTTGTACTGAAAGAAGCGATTTAAAAAGTTTGAAAACAAGCATCTTTTTAGAATAGTTTTGTGGTAAACTTAGCATGTCCTCTATGTGAAATAAATTGAGCAAAATTGTAGTTTTAGAAAGCAATTTCCTAAGCACTTGTGATCAGATTTTATGGTTCTATAATGCAGTAATTTCAAAATAATCCTGACTACTTGAATCTTTCTATGTTTTTCTTGATTTTGTGAAAACTTATGTTGATGATTTAATTGCAGTTCGACAATAAAAATTAATAAACTTTTACAATCGCTTTAATTAACGAAGTAAATTTCGCTGATTTGGACTTTTTAGACATTAATAATGTCCAGCCCATAAAGCATAACAATATCGTGATTTGTACATACTTTCCTGACTGTGTTTCAATTCCAAATCAAAATTAATTCCTGAGTTTCAGTCATTTATTGTCTTTATTTATCAATTAAAATACGTTTCGGTGTATTTTTCCACCATCATCAGTTTTTCTAAAATAGCAGATAGTTAAAAAAAATTAATAATTTAAAAAACAATTTGGCATGCATACATTTGGAGTATTTGTAAGCACATGTAAGTAAAAATATTTAAGTATCTGAACAAAGAATTCTAGTCTCTTCCCAAATTTGATTGTCCTGACTAATCACCTGTTAGGCCTAATTAATTTTAGAATGTTTTAAAGTGTTGCAATTGTGATGTATTTTAGTGTGTGATATGATGAGGCTGTTGACGAACTGTGATTGTTTTTTAAATTAATAAAAAAATTTTTTAACTCTCTGTTATTTTAGAAAAACTGATGATGGTGGAAAAATACATCGAAACGTATTTTAATTGATAAATAGAGACAATAAATGACTGAAACCCAGGAATTAATTTTAATATCGTGATTTACAGAATTTAAAAAAGCGTCTCGATCGTCAAACCAAACTTGGTGACTCAAAAAATGGAACAATTTCGCAAATTTCACTCAGAAACCTAAAGGAATTGAAACAAAGACAATTGTTTTTGGTTTGTCGCTATACCGAATTCAACAAGCCAAGTTTGGAGAAAAATGTAATTAATTTTGACAAGTTTTAGTTTTCAGAACATGATTGAAACTCTCCGTGAACATTTTTGTAGCACCCAAATGCTTTTTGAAGTCAAACAATTAAATTAAACCCATGTAGTGCAAATTGAGGCATAAAGAAATTTAAAAATATGCCTCTCATTACTTATCTGAATTTGCGTTCATATTTTTCGATTTTTTTATAATATAACGAAAATTATCAAATATATGAAAACATTTTACGAGCAAGTAATGTCATAACATGAAAAGAAAAGTACAATTCGCACGATTCTTCCACCACAGGTGCTCAAATATTTATCTGCTTTCAACAGATTGAAGTGAATATTTTCCGTTAGTAGTTACAACATAGACTATCTGGTAATTTGCCATTTTAAAAACGAGATCTCATAACAAACACATTATTGAACGACGTTTCCCAAAGATAAAAATCAGTCCTTAAAGGACAGGTCACGGCTCATATCCCGAAACAGACTGCACCCTGCATATTAGTTGTTTTGAATACTCTTTAAGTCGCTTTAATCCTCATAGCCTGACATTTCTTTGTGCCGGATTATAAACTGACGGTAACACCTCGAGGAAATTTGATCTTTATTGTTCAGCTCCGTAAGAGCTAACCGTGATACCGACCGTAACTGAACACTTGAATTTTGATGACAACGTTTTTTTTCTCATCTCTGCCTTTTAAAGCTTGTTTTCGTTATCTGAAAATGTGGCCTTCTTTATCTACTGGTGACGCTTTATTGAATCGTGTTGCATCAGGACCTAAGGGACAAGAAAAGACAAAAATTTCAACTGATTGAAAATACTGAAATCAAAGCAGATTATTATCGGCTACATTAACGTTAACTATCGGTGAATAAATTTTATTGCGTGTGATTACCAATTTAATACTGTGAGTGATAAGTGGAGTCAACTGAATAAAAAAAGTAAATGTGTGTAGTAGAACCTTCTAGAGGAAATATGATCTTAAGAATGTGCGAATAGCACTTCAAGAATATGGTAAGTAATTTCAGATGGTGGATAAACCCAATTTTTTAGCGACAACTTACTTAAAATTGGGTGGGAAATGCCTAGTTTATGCCTTGCGAGTCGGAGTACAAAACAAAATTTTTGTATGGTTTTACAACAGTACACGTTGAAAAAATTAGCTAGAGAGTAAAACAATTAGCCTTATTAAATGCTTATTTAGGTTTCACGATGCAAGCATCAATTTTCTGACCAACGAGTTTTAGAGCATTCAAATACTCATATCACTCGCATCACGCTCGCATGCTCGAATTACGAATCTGCCAGGACATCAGTTATTTTTTTTGCCTTGGAACAACGAAAATGAGATTCTCATTATTTAGCGTACATAAGTTACTCTGTTCACGCGCAACAAATAAAGTACACACCGGTTAACTTAAAAAAAAAAATTGATATTCATAAGTAAATATTAATAATATTCCAGTATTTACAACCTAATAAAAATAAACTGTTATTCATCTCAAAAAAGTATGTGCTTTTATTATCTAGACCATATTTTACTAAGAAGTACATGCGTACTTTAAGTGTTTGCTATTGTTTAATTCCCTTGGTTTATTGAGGATTGTTAAAATGCTTTTACAAAACGTTCGTGAGCAAGCAGTAAAAGTCATGTCAAAGCAGACAAGCTCTAAAGTAATTTAGAAGGGAAAACTGTACTAAGACAATTTTAATAAATTAGAATAAGAAATTTAACCGCGTTACCACATAACAAACTAATGTGTTCTAGGCCACGTTGCAGTTATTTAAAAAGAAAGTGACGGCGCACTATAGGCACAAATAACAAAATTAGTGTCAAAATAAAATAGCGCCTCTTAGAAATTACTTAAGGGAATTATTTTTTTCAAATGTTGGTAGACTGATACAGATTAATTAAAAATTATTGACAATGTCACAATGTATCGGCCCACACGTTGGTATAACCGCAAAGATCACAGAAATCGAGTGCATGGACATTTCCACATCCAAAAAAGGGGGCGGAAAATACGTGCTTTAGAGATTCTCCTATGAACTCATAAAAATTTTATTTTTCAGTTCATATATCGAAAATTCTAGTGTTTTTTGACCTTTTTGACGTTTTGTTTTATAGCAACTATAAATAATATATTACGGTACAAGAGTCGCCAGTACCGCCACTGCTTGATGTTGACGCCCGAGGCAAAGCCAAGGGCGTCATGCACGCAGTCACTTTCGCCTTGATACACTATTTTTCTTGATCCTCGGTGGAAACCATTTCCCGGAAAAAGTATAAGATTTTGAAAAAAAGACTGAAAATGTTCTCAAAACAGTGAGTGACAAACAGTCAAGCTGTCAGCGAGCGTGGCGAAAGTTATTACTTGCCACACGGGATGAAGAAAATTTGTAATGGGTAAAAGTGATGCTTTCGCCATCGAAAATAGTGGCGAAAGTACGTACTTTCCACCAGGGGATCAAGAAAATTATAATTTTATACATTGAGTACGTCTACATTTGTGCTAATAGTTTTCTATATAAAGTGCACCAAAAAGTAAAGAAGGTGTAAATTACCGATTAATTATTTTAAATGTAGATGTGCAATGTGTGCATTACGCAATAGCAGCTTCAATGCAGCCGTTGGAACATTTTACTAAATTAACCTGCCCCATAGAACAATCAAAATATTTTTGTGCCACGTTTATATTTGCAGGGTTTAAATGCGCAATTATATTTATATTTGCTCCAAACATAGTGATGATTCCAGCGAACAAATAAAAAGTTCTTAATAATATGATGACAACATAATTTAATGATCTATGTATAGGACAGTATGTCAGAACAGATTAGCAAGAATTGACATACTGTGACAGTACAGATTAACAAGAATTGATATAAAGTARCTGAAAAATCTACTTGGCTACTAACTTACGAGTTGCACGAGTTTTCTCATTAAGTTTTCACATTAATTTTTAAGCTATGTTCAAAATGCCAAAGAGGCCACTCTGTGAAATACACTCAGAGAACTAATAATTAAAACAGACACCCACAGTCTGTGGGACTAAACAAAGACACATGAATGGGCACTAATTGATTGCAGCTCGATTTCTGCGGGAACTAATAGCATCCTCCAATGAGTTTTCCTATTTATGAAACTACTCCCTCCCTCAAATTCTAATTTTGGAACGAATTTGAGACTAGTGCCCTTTGCAGATCAGCTCAATATAATCGATTCCAAGATTCCCAAAGCGTTTCTTGGATTATGACAATAAAACTCTTCAGACGAAATTCCATGGTCTATCCATTTGTAAGATCGCAGATGGAGAAAAATTTAACACTTTCACATCGAAGAGAATTGTTACACATGGATGCAGTTTTGTGTTACTGGAGAATAGCACGAGAATATGTTTTGCGAACCTGGAACGTCCTGGTCATGACTCCTATGACCCCCCTTCCTTATCCTGGGTGGATGTCGACTAACGTTAATTTTTCTAATTTTATAGACAACAAAATACTGAATTTCTGTACGAGGGTGGTTTGAAAAGTCGGTACAACGTCGAACTTCTGCCGAAGTTATTTTATGTTAGTAGCATCTCTTGGAAGAAGACACACGAAGTTTCAGCCAGCAGAAGCGTTTACTTCTTTGTGTTTAGCGTTTGTTTAAATCGAGTGTTCGAGAAACTCAAACATTTTTATTGTCGCATGTAACAAAGGCCAAAGGGCTGAAAAAGAACCATCGACGGTTCCGGTCGCTTTAGCACGGTGATAGTCAAATTTTGATCCCCTTTGTTTTACTCGAACATAGTTGTTAGCGTTTGTAACAATTCTCGCTCCCGGATTCTCTTGTATTTAAATAAGTGTGTTAGGCACTGTTAACCAAACTGGTCCTTCAAATCCGAAATAAACTTGTTGATTGTGTGAATTTCGGTTGTGTCAATTCAAACGACTGTAAGGCCTGCAGTGCACCTGTGGAGACAATTATTTAATATGCATATTTAGTCCGCTTGATTGAGCTCCACTTGATTGGGCACATTCTGCTCCCCAAACATCGAGGAAGTCGAGAAATTTTCAACACGCGGACGATTTCGCGCTTTGATAAAACAATATGGGGACTGCACTTTCAATTAGAACAGTTTATAACTGTTCCAAAATTTTCGGAGTTGCCATATAGACAGTAAAACTATTACAGGTGCAAATTATTAAGAAAAACGTCGAGGATTGGCCGACAAAAAGTTTCTTTTCATCACGACCATGCACCAGCTCACACTTGAGCAGTTGTGGCCGCAAAACTGTTAGAAGTAGGATTCGAGCTCGTTCCACAACACACAACGCCCCTATTCTCCAGACTTGGCTCCCTCGGACTATCACCAATATTTAAAAATGGATGACGGAAAAATATTTTACTCAGAGGAGGAGGTGATTGCAGGAACAAATGCCTACTTTGCAGACTTGGGGGTTGATCGAAAAAGAGTTGATCGTAGAAACTAGAGCATAGTTCGAAGAAGTATATGTCTAAAAGGAGA